AGTTTAGACTATAGCTCACTTGTGGAGGGGTGCACAGAAACAAAGGGCTGTGGCCTTTCATGCGTGATGTAGGGCCGCTACGAGCCGACAAATGTGAATCCAGGCAGCGAGCGATTTACCTGGCATGTGTCGCCCTGAGTTGCAATTATGGCTGTTGGATGGTCGCCATGACCCGCAAGCAGTCAGAAAGCATCTTGTTTGTTTGGGCAGGAAATGATGCTGATGGTAGCAGAAGTTGCCGGCTTGGATGCTTCTGGCATCACAGCTGTGCGTACTCCACCAGCAACACCACTTCCAAGGGACACGCAGCACATGCCTCAGTGAGAACCAGTGTCAACCAGTATCCACTAGCCCTAAACTTGCCTTTGGTTAGCTAGGAATGAAGGAATTGATCCTTATAGTAGTCCCTATATAACCGTCAGTAGTTTCCATTCCTTCTGAGCCCTAAACCCTAAACTGTATATAACCCATTATAGGCTATCAAAGTAGTTTTTTTCGTTCCCATGCCTCAGCTGACCAAAGGCAAGTAAACCCTTCCCCCTCAAAGGTTGGACTGTTCTCGCTTGACCCAACTTTTGGGGAGAAGCGAGCAGACTCACCTACGCGACGGCTTACAGCAACTGGGTTGCTGTTAAAGAACTTGAATTAATTACCATGCTATGGGTTGATAGGAATGGGGCTTACTTAGTGTTTAGAATAGGGTTCAGGGTACCATAAAACAGGTATATAGTAAATGATCGGGTTTCCTTACTATAGTGGCTTTGTTTAAGTTCCTGAACAGCAACCCAGGCGGTGCTTGGCCCCCTTCCGAGTGATGCGCTGAGAGTGTGCCCACCGCTGTTCAGATCCGTTGAGAAAGCATGACTTGGCGCAGACTGTCCAACTTAGGTAGCCCAATCCAATGCCAGCAAGCCCCACACAGAGGCCTGTGCGAGGTAACTATCCCACAAAATGGGGGTTTCCCAAAATTAGGGGTACCTTGTTGGGGATCCCTATAATAAGGACTATAGTATTTTGGGGTCTATATTGGGGTCCCCTTATTTTGGGAAACTACCAAAATCCTGCACCCCAGCTTTCCGCGATGCAAGGTGGCAAACCTGACAGTTGATGCCGACCTGAAAAACCATGGGGCGGCTTTGCAGAAGGTTTTTTGGGAGGACTGCGGCTCTGTAAGATGAGTGCAAATTTTACGTAATCCCATGCCCATCCCAGCCCCTGTGCATCCCCGCGCACAGCGCCCTGCACAGTAGTCAGATGGTTCCGGAATATGGGTTCAGCGGGTTATGGGGCTATGCAGGGTTCAATGACCAACCCATAAGCTACCAATCAGATGTTGAAGCCAAGTCGTATGCGCAAAGAGTCGAGATGTGCCCCACATTTGTGAGACTTCCATGTGACCATGTCTCAACATGATTCAACTAGAATCTACTTAAGGGGACTATACTCTAAACCTTAAATAGTAGTTTCCATTTTCTTTTCCATCATCCCTTCATAACCCCAATATAACCTCTGTAGAATCCCAACAATCCCTATAGTTTCCAGTAACTAGAATCCCTAATCAGGACCCCCATCATCTCCTCATAATCCCTGTATTCCTTGGGATCCCAAAAACTCTCCTGTCAGGAGCTGGAAAGGACGCGCCGTCGTTTGCGCCAGGCAGTCGGCTAGGGACGCCTCAATGATGTGGTGGTTTTCACTTGATTTTCCATTACCTTTATATGGAGGTTAGGGCTATACCATAGAATTTGGTAAGTGTACGAGGTTTAATCCAGGTCAGTGTAGAAGTTGAGAGTCTCGACAAAGACACTACCATACAAATGATAGCGCAAAGCTGAACCCTCGAAACAAATCCTGCATAAACCCCGAACCCTATGAAAACCTCCTATAAATCCTAGAGTGGTTTCCATTTTCTCTTACCCCCCCAGACGTCCAACCCTGAACCTCAAGCCCCAAGCCCTAGACAGGATTCCCTGCGCCAAACCCTATACCCTGAGCTCCAGACAGGCTGGCATCAACCAGCAGCGGTCTCGAACGGAAGGGAGCTGCCACGGCAGATCCGAGGTTGCCGAGAAGTTTGCTCCTCTAGGCCGGTTGAAGTTTTCATGAGGTTCAGTTGAGTAGTATTTCATTTGGGGATACTATGGTACCCATTATAGAGTAAGATTCTATCCTCCTTTTGGGGTATAGTATTTTATATAAGGAATATTTTCTTACTAGGTTCAACCACCAAAAGAACGCTACTCAGTTGAGGCGCCCCGTCTGATGGGGACACATGAGCCATAATCTAAACTGCTTGAAGGGGGTTATATAAGAGATTATATAGGGGATTGCTATAGGGGCTATTAGGGCGGATACTAGGAGTTTAGACTATAGCTCACATGGTTTAGGGTTTAGTGTTAAGGGGTCCCATATCAGGGGGACCCATAAATGAGGATTCCCCAAGACTTCCCAAGGTCTCACTTGTCTCACTTGGTCTTCGAATATGGGAGCCGCATGTATGGAGTTTCCCTCTAGGACTTCTTAACTCCGCTGTGTACTTCGTCATGGCTTGTCTCAGATAGGCTACATGAAGGTTTGCTTGTTTTTGTCCCTTGTCCCGTTCAGTGGACAATAAACCCTATAAAATCACAGTTTCCAATTCATTTCCCGTTCAATTCTCCATTGTTGGGGTTTTATGCCTAAACCCTAAACATCCTGAACCCTAAGCCACAGAGGCTTTGGAAGCCTGTGTTTGCAGGTGAACAGCGCCTCCACGAGCAACAGGTGGGGTTTCCTAAATTTTAGCATCCCTCATAACATCCGAAAAGATACTAAACGCCCTAAATGCAGAAGGCAGACCCCAAGCACCTTTTCTTGTCAACCCTGTAGAAAGCTTGAATGATGTAGTAGTTTCCATTTTCTTCTCCATTACCCTTATATATATTTATACATATACACCAGCTTTTCAACCCCCAGGTGTAAATCTGCCGCTGACAGAGCCATGACGCTCTGCATTGCGGTATCAAATTCGCAGGAATGTGCCCCTTGTACAGGCGCATGTGCAAGAAAAAACGTTTGGGCCCGTGCATGGCATAGACCTGCATCCGTCTCTGTGCTAAGAAGCCCAACAGATGAGCCAAACCCTAAACCCTAAAACCCTAAAACCCTAAAACCCTAAAACCCTAAACCCTAAACCCAAAGCTTCTTCTTGACAGGAGGATTCTGATGTTTGGGGTTCTTCGGCCCTCGACCTTGAGCGTGCCTTAAACAAGGCGCGCTGTTCCATATGAGCCATAGTCTAAACTCTTTTAAGGGGGCTGTATAGGGGATCATATAGGGGACTATTTTTGGGCTTATTAAGAGGGATACTAGGATTTAGTCTATAACCTCTATAATCCCCTATATGATACCAGTTTCCATTTCATTTTTCATTTTCTTTTCCATTTGATTCTCCATTATTAAGGGGGATACTAGGAGTTTGGACTATAGCTCACATGGTTTCGCAGGTATAGTGCCCGTTAGGTAGATAGAATATGGCTTTGGGTAAATTATAATAAGATCCCCATATACCCCAGATTCAAACTACTCGCGGGGGACTATAACCCTAAACCCTAAACTCTATGTTCTATCTACTAAAGGGGGACTATAACCCTAAACCCTAAACCTTAAACCCTATATTCTGTCTACTTAAGGGGGACTCTGACGCTAAACCCTAAACCCTAAACCCTACATTCTATCTACTTAAGGGGGACTATAACCCTAAACCCTAAACCTTATGTTCCATCTACTTAAGGGGAACTGTAACCCTAAACCCTATATTCTATCTACTTATGGTGGACTATATGTCCAGCAAGACTTCGGGTGCTGCGAGGTGCGACGAGGCGAGCGGATCGTCTCCCTTTTTCAGACGGGCCCCCTCCTTCAGGCCAAGGTTTTAGGTTTTGGGTTTAGGGGTTTAGGGGTTAGGGGTTAGGGTTTAGGCCAAGGGATAATGGAAAATGACATATGGAAACTACTAGAATTATTATATAGGGGTTCTATAGGGGGTTATTTAGGGACAATGGAAAGGAACATGGAAACTACTATAATATACAGGGGTTATATAGGGGGCTTATAGGGATAATGGAAAAGAAAATTGAAGCTGTTATACTATATAGGATCATATCGGGGTTATATAGGGATAATGGAAAAGAAGATGGAAACTACTATATTAGTTAGTTTCGGTGGATGCCACTTGCAAACGAACAAGATTTGCCCACTTGGAGGGTCGGGGACTTAGTAACGGGGTTATTGATGGCGTGGCTTAAAGGGGCTATGAGTCGACATACTCCATCCCCCTGACCCTCCAAGTACAGGGCTGTCGATACTGTTTGCTCCAAATCAGGGAGTTGGTGATGCCGGCGCAATGCAACTCGCTGAGGCCAGTTAATCCCCTCCCCCAATACTAAAAAAAACCATCACCTGATCTCAATTACTCTCGATATCGTAGAGTAGATCGCAATGGGAATATTTGATGTCAGGGCGGCTGTTTTTTCAATGTTATCAGGAGCAGCGCTGGAGTCATGACACAGATGAGCTACAGTCTAAACTCCTTAAAGAGGGTTATGTAGGGGATTATATAGGGGACTACTATAGGGGTTATTAAGGGGGATACTAGGAGTTTAGACAGTAGCTCAGATGATGCAGGCACTTCATGGTTGCAGACAGCAACCTTTAAATCAAGGCCAGGGACTTTGCTCGCCAGGGCGCTGGTAGACCATCCTTCCTATACAACCCTGATGTCCGTATATCCCTACATATACCTATATAGACTTTGTTTCCCTTTGTTTCTCTGTAGCCCTTTAAGGTAATACTATAATATACCCTAATATACCATAATATACCATGATATACGATAATATACTATCCATGTATAACCTTATGTACCCCTTTAAGGTGTTGCAGCTGCCAGGCTTGGTGCTGTTCAGGGTCCGTGGGCACCAGGCTGGAGAGTTTTGTTGACCCTTCGCATCCGGTGGGTTTCCAAGAATGAGGGGGTCCTTTGTTGGGGGTTAGATGATTGTTGTACTTAGGGAGATGACCGAATATGTGAGGGGGACCCTGATTTCTGGAAACTACCATCTTGGCCATGGACACAGAGCCTAAACCCTAAACCCTAAGCCGTGGACCCTTAACCCTACACCCTAAACCCCCAAACCCTAAACCCCTAAACCCTAAACCAATTGATCTGGACCCCGTGGCATTTGGGCTCAATCAAAGGTGGGAAGGTTGGCCACGTTGCTGCGTAGATGATCCCTCATCACCTTGCTTGACGGTTCTTACCTTGGTTGAGCTCAGGGGTTTGGGTTTTAGGGTTTGGGTTTTAGGGTTTGGGGTTTAGGGTTTGGGGTTTAGGGTTTGGGGTTTAGGGTTTTAGGGTTCAGGGGTTTGGGGTTTAGGGGTTGAGGGTTTAGGGAGCTCAGTTGAGAAGCAGTCGTCTTGCGAATAAGAATATTATCATCCTAGATGTAGGCAGTCTCACCGGGTTCAACCACGACCAAATATACCTCTCAGTTGAGCTTTACTGTGTGGGCTTTTGCATGCCCAGCGGTTGCACGCAGCCTTGCTCTCCTCGGCCGCCAACTATTTGCAACACTTGGCCAGAGGGAGTTCATCAAGGGTCAGGGGTTGCCAAACTTGCGGCCCCTTTTTTGGGGTATGTATTGTACCGGCCCCCCGTTAATATACAGCGCACCCAAAAAAAGAAACCACGATTTGGACCACCTACCATGTAAGGTACAGCTTTTCTCCCACCAAATCCTGTATCACACAAGTTTTGTGCAGATAATGTTGGGTTGCGGTATGTTGTTGCATTGGAGTCTCAGGTTATCTTGGTGGTTAAACTTTTTAAGTGTATGAGTCTCGCAAACGCGACTGGCACCAGTCAGTTTCTGATCAGAACACATTCCAGAGCAATCTTGACCTCTTCGCTGACAATTAACTAGCTGTGACTAGCTGAGGGTTCACGGTCACCCTGAAAGAACCAACTCAACGACGTTGAACATTCACCCTGACGATTGTAGTGTGAGGGGTTCAAGCGTGGTGTAGAAATTAAAAGGTTCCTGAAAATAGTTTTTAAT